GTTTGTGAATTCCAGGTTGCAATGAGCACCATGGACAATCCTCTGTTGAAGTACAACGCTAAAGAGTATTTCTTCAAGGCCTCACTGTGTCACTTCATCGTGGATGAACTGAATGCAAAGGTAGCATCGCTGAGCTCCTTCAGACAGACACTCACATACATTTGGATTTGTTGCACCGCAGTAGTTTAAAAGTGTTTACAGTTCAGGTACGGTGACCTCAGCTTTCATGTCATCAGCTCGGCTTTACGTTGAACTGTTGTGTGTTCCAGTTGGCCATAGAGAAGTACGAAGAGATGTTTCCCGCCTTCACAGACTCAAGAGAGCTCAAACTGCTAAAGGTACATTTATGGTTTTATTCTTGTGAATTGACGATTTTGACGTTTTATCACGTCACGTATAATACTGGTCCCTTTTCCTTCCCTACATGTTTTGTTTGTAACACATGTGGACCTGTGTTGATGCTAGAGCTGTGTGATTTTTTGTAAAATATACAATCAAAGAATTTTGACTTTGAATTTGACTGCAGTGAGAAATGAGCCCACAGTGAGGAAAAGCGTGACAGGAGCAGAAAACACACAGAAACTGCTGCTTGGAGTTCAGAAAGTTAATGTTAATGTTATAGACAACTGTCTGTAGTATTTAAATAATGGCTAATATGTAGTGTAGCTAATAAAATATCACATGGTCAGGGGCGGTATATAATGTGGTTGTGTGGCTGCAGGCTAATGTCCAGTCCAACCACAGGAGCAAAACAGAAATTAGAAATTAGAAAAACAAGTTATTTTTGGTAAAACCTCTGACTTTGAAGCACGTCTTGAGGTTTAGAGGGTTAAATCTAATGTATTCCCTCTTTGTTCGTTTGGGTGAAGTAACCTTTGAGTTTTGTCTCGGCAGAAACTCCTAGAAGCCCACGAGGAGCAGAACAGCGAGGCGTTCACGGAGGCGGTGAAGGAGTTCGACTCGGTGTCTCGTCTGGACCAGTGGCTGACCACGATGCTGCTGCGCATCAAAAAGACCATCCAGGGCGACGCCGGGGACCTGAAATAGATTGATTTAGAGGGGGAACGAAGGGAAGGGCAGGTAGAGGAAGAGTAGAAAAAGATGTGAGGGAGGGATGAGTGAGTTTACAGTTGTACATATCAGTCTGCATGTGACCCCCAACGAGCTAAGCGTCACCTTTAAACCACCGTTAGAAACCCCGTGTCCCCGCTCCCACAGTATTGCTCTCGTAACACTGGACAGAACCGTACTCGAAGAGAAAGAGAAAGTGTGCGTGAAAGAGAGAGTGTGTGTGAGAGTGTGTGTGTAACCAACACTATCTGATGGGAACGTGTGCAACCTACATGAGATTTAAGGATATATGTTAATGAAAAGGGATAAAAAAAAATTATATTATTTATGAGATTATTGATATTTATTGTCAATACTGAACATATTTATTGTTTATTATGGTGCTCAGTGTTACGATTTGTCTTAATATTTTAGGTATTAGCCCCTCTACTCCCCCCTCCTCATCTGTTCTTCCTCCCCCTCGTCCTCGCCTCGACCCCCCCCAACACACGAGTCAGTGGTATCACCCATTGTGATTGGTTGTGTTCAAGCCAACGGTGGGTCGGCGCAGTTAGCCGCCGGCGCCGCCTTGTTTGTGCATGTCTACTGTCATGTTGATGTAAGTGTTCTCCGTGTCGTGCTAACGTGTGAACAACATACATGTAGCCTGGTATCATTTGTGTGAAATCAGTAAATATGTACCTCAGAGTTGAAATAAAAACATCGCCACTATGGAAATGTGGTTTGTTTATTCAGAATATGAACACAGACCAAGCTCAACGTCCAAATGGCAGCTTCATATTTACATTTATCTGATCTAATACAGTTTTAAACTGTCTTTGAATCTTGCCCTCAGAAGACCAAGCCAAGCTGCATTACGTGTTTTATGCTGCTTCACCACCAAACATCAAATCAAGACCACCTTTTAGAAGCTTCTTAAAGCACAAACTGCTGTAAGAAACCCTAAAATGAGGTTATATTTGGATTCAAGATATTTATTGAGTGGAAGATTTTACAGTTAAATTCGTCATTTTTCTCTGCAAAAATATAAAAGTTATCCAAGCAATAGCACTTGTTATCTGGTAAAGGTTTTGTAGTTAATACATAAACTAGTGTCAGTATTCTTTAATATTACAGCTTCATATTAAAAAAAAGGTAGATAATACTTTATTCATCCTACAGTGGGGGAAAATGGTTTGCACAAAAATGTAGAAACATCAGGAACAAATAATAAAACAAAAGAATAAACCAAGTAAATACACAGATTATTCTATGAACTCTTATTTCTCATAATTGCATTGATTCAGAATCTGTGGTGTATGTAAAGTGTATGTAGTTGCACGTCCCAATAATACAAAACACAACACCTGAATATGGAATGCTTAATTAAAGAACAATAATCCTATTTTATGCAGAAAAAATATCAGGAAAATCTGAGCTGGTTAAACAGAAATTTTTTTAAATGTTTGATGATTTGAGATGGAATGACCCACACCTTTATTTGGTCTACTAAGGATTCCCCTCAGTTATTTCATGTCTTAAAATCACTTCAAGCGGCTTTAATATGACTATTAAATGTGGTTTAGGGTTTTATTTATAGAAACCCTTGTAATTTTAATTGTAATTTTCTTACATTTGCAGAAAAATGTTAACAACTTAAACTAAACAAAAATTATCACCTAGTGTTACGTGAAATCTGGTACCACAGTGAAAATTGCGAAACCATTAGCCTCAGTGTTCTGGTTAGCCTCTGGTTTAGCACAGCAGAGAAAATTAAAGCCGCAAGCGGCGATGGACGGGTCCTCGCACCTACGCTTGTCGGCCTTCGCGCNCTCACTCTGTTTTGGGGCGTTTCGTCCATTTCCTTTATTGTGTCAAGTTGTTTTTTGAGTATATAAACACCAAAAACCCATTTTGAAGGGTTAGCCGTTCAGGCAATCCCATATTGTTGTTGTAGTTATCAAATGCATGATTTGACCACAAAGATATCTCTGTTACTGGTTGGAAGTCATCAACCTCCTCAGAGTCTCTGTCATGGTCCCGTTGCTACTTAACTCCCACAATGCTCTCTGCTGCCAGCATGAACTGTAGTCTGAGTGACGCCTCCTCTGGTCTCTACAGTATTAAACAGTAAGAGGCTCCACCTGGTGGAACAACCAGGTACTGCAGCGGATCTATGATGCCTTTACTGACATCATGTAGAGAATACAGGTTTTTTCCACCTGTTGGAGCCTCAGTATACCCTACCCTCTAACTCTACATTTACCCTCTAACCCTACAT